GTAGATACGAAGCTGCGTGTGACAGCGCAGACACTGGAGTTGCAGCCTCAGTCCCACGTTAAGGCTCTGGCACCTCCTTGGAGACACTGTTCCACTCAGGGAGTGTGTTTACATGCACATCTGTATCCTGGTTTCGTCAGGGTCCATGTATACGCAGTATCCTGGTTACTGCAACATAAAGAGCACAAACCTGCACACATCTGATCTTTGAAAACACCGCGACACACAGAACAGACTCACCTTCAGCATCAACATCCCTCTGTCACATAGAGAACACTCATATTCCACTGAGTCATGTCCTTTAGTCCGACAGAAGCTGAAACACATCAGCACACAAGGCCATTTTTTTTCCTTCACTTAGTTTATGCAAATTAGCCATGCGGTTTTAAGTTTTGTCTCTGTGAGACTTGCGCAAAATGGCATTAAACACATTATAATATCAAACGGGCTGATGTGGCTTTATAGTGGATATTTTTATATGTTGTAAAGTTGAGTTTATTTATGCAAATTAATAGAAGTAATAATAATGATGATACTTATTATATAAAAATTATTAATTGAAAATCAGTCATTAATTCTCCTGACGATCGATTAATAAAAAGAAGGGAGGGATGTCAGAATAGACAACGGACCCCACCATAATGATGCAATGCTCACATTAACAAACACTACCAAAAAAAGTGTTCATACAAGTGTTCATGGACCCTTTTAGGTGTTTGTAAGTTGAGAGTGACTAACTAAAAAACCTTTTCAAAAACCTGGTAGCAAGCTTGTGATTTTAATGTCATTTGAGACGGACTTGTTTAACACCACACCTCACCTGTTGTAGTTCCAGATAAGTGCAATCTTTATGGTCAGATTGTGTTTAAAATCAGACCATAGTCTAAGAGAGCTTCAGACAGAGCAGAGCCTCCAGGTAGCATCACACCTCCAGAGAATGTTGATGATATATGTGCACTCTAGAAGTTTTCTGCTGGAGACTTTACCACCAACTTGTCTCCATAGAATTGTCAATACTTTGCCTAGAATGTTCCACAGAATGACATTAAACATCTCATAGAAGACCTGTGGAGAGGCAAGACCAACCCCCCATGACATAAATGCAGACGTATTGACTTTAATGCCATATTGTGTAACATTCCGGGTGAAGCAATAGCACGTCTACTAGAAAAGTTACATATTGCACTTTTATTTTAGTCGGTTGTGTGGGCAGAGGCTTTTATCTACATGTGTGTTGTGTAGAAAACCTGACTGTCTTGTGTGACTGTTGACACCTGTCATTTGGAGCACTGTGTCGTTCGTTTAAACACTCTGCCTCAGGGTTTAACTGTCTGTGTGTCGACTGTTAAGTGTGTTCTCATGTTCCATATCGAATAGTTTCATTTGTCTTCTAGTCTAAGTGTAATTCTGTTTAAAATACACAGTGCTATTGTGAAAGAACACTCAGATGGTGAAGCTCTTTGCTGCTCTGTGGTTTTTTTGTGGTTTGAGTGACTCAGAGCAGAAAATAGTTCAGAATCTCCATAGGCTGCAATTTCATAGAATGTACATTGTAAAGAAAGAAAGAGCCTGTGTGCACGAGGATTTTTAACATTTGTTATTGGCTGAACACTGCATCAGGTGTGGGAGGATGGACCTTGGGGTATATATATATATAATTGGACACAGCAAATGCACTAGACGCCGCGTTCCTTGTTTAAAGCTGCTTTAGTCTTGGTAGTAGTCCTGGTGTAGTCCTGGTGTAGTCCTGGTGTAGTCCTGGTGTAGTCCTGGTGTAGTCCTGGTGTAGTCCTGGTTGAGTCCATATGCGGCGCAAAAGTCTGATCTTGATCAATGTTTCTTCTGCTCAATAAATAATGCCTGTGAAGTGATGATGTGTTTTTGACAGTAAAGTCGCGTCTGTGAATTCGTATTTGTACGGAAGAAAATGTAATCATAAATTTATCATCTCGTGATTGTAATTCTTGATGTCGTAACTTTTCAATTCATGTTCTGATGGATAAAATACGCACAACACATTTTATGTATGACCGAACTCATGTGGGAGTTTGCAAATATTTATTTTATGCTCAATTACAGCCAAATATGCATGGATTTTCCAAATTTTCCAAATATCTGTGCAAGAATTTCTATCCTAGGTGCATGAATATTTCTGAAAACTTTCTTACTCCATAGAGTATCTCAGTACCAAAATTCAGATTATATTATGTCAATTAAAGGTAGAGTGTTTAAATTTCTACATGATTCCATGAAAATAGAACCTGCATGATTCAATGGAAACTGAAAAAACATACTTAGGAACATTCTCCATGGAGATAGATTATAGCCAAAGGAACAACATTTTCATGGAAAGAAGCAGTCCCTCCTCCAGGTCAAATAAGAGTCAGCTTTGTGCTATGCAAGCACGCTCACAGTAAGGACACGTGTATGTTTGTTCGTTTATTTATTTATTTATTTATTATCATATTGAATCAGCTCTTTTTACAGCATTTTTAAAAATGCTATACAATATATTCTCAATATGGATAGCAGCATTAACCACACTTTAAAAACAGTTCAGTTTATGGTGTCCTGTTCTCTGTAATCCCAAATCTTAAAAAACACCGGACTAATCTGAATCCTGTTTTTAATACTCTGCAGCTCCAACAGTCAAACCGCCCACACATGCCGCTCAGAGCCATGTGGAGCTTCTTGTGTAATGTTTCAGAATGCAGCTTTAGTGTGGCCTCCAGCGCAGCAGAGTCCACACACTGTTTCACATGAGCAGCGCAGCATTAGTCACAAGAGGAGGTCCTGTCATCCCAATGAGCTTCACTGTCTGCAGGGTTCATTCATTTTCTATGGCTGCCCCTCAGCGTGATTCAAGAGTTATGTTTATGACATGATTAGAGTGTCATCTGGAGTCCATTTGGCCAACAGCTTTGGCTCTTAAATAAAGACATAAACATTTCATTTACACAGAAATAAAAGGAGTTATAGACACAGACTTGCCCTGTCTGTCACATTAATTACTGTATCAATTTAACATTCAATATATGAAACCTGGAACAATAGTTTGGAGTAATGTTTCTCTGTAGTTATATATTTTACTCCAAAATTAAGGCAGACCTACCATAAACTGTATAGGTCAGGGGTCGGTAACCCGCGGCTCCAGAGCCTCATGTGGCTCTTTCGTCCTTCTGTGACTTTGGAAAATAAATAATGAGTATTTAATTAGTGTATTTTTGTTTTAGTTTGATCGTTGATATAATTCTAAATTTGCAGATAATTGTAATCTTGTAACAATAAAAGAAAAAGTTTTTAATATTTTTGTTGCTCAAAATGTACGTCACAGCCGCTGATGTGTGACACCCGGCACAGATCTGCAGCTCAAACTTACCGGCACCTACACCAGCAGTATGATTTATTGAGCTTTTCGACCCCTGGTAGATAAAAGATGAATAAATCCAAGAAAAGAAAAGTTTCTGAAGAAAATAGAATGTTTAATGCTACTTGGGCAGATTCATTTGCTTTTACGATTGATGAGACTGGTGCTCGTGATAAAATGATGATGGAGCTCAGAAGCAGACGGACTTTTTGGTTCGCTACGGGTGAATAATTTAAGTTTGGATTTTTATTTCTTATGAGGAGGACTCAAATTGACATTGAGTATTTCATTTGAAAGAAAGCAGCAACCAAGTATCTTTTTTCGGAGTTCAAAATGTTTTTGTTACATACAGAAATAAAATTCTGTGTTCTCTGTAGCGTTTCATAAATGCAACACACTATATATAGTCTTTTATAACCCTAACCCTAAAACATGTTATGCAGTGTTCTCCTCATGTTAAATGTTAAATGGTTTTGTGGCTCCAGGTGTTCGTTTCTGTAGGAGATGCTCCAAATGGCTCGTTGAGTATTTAAGGTTGCCGACTCCTAGTATAAGGGCACATAGTTATCCAGCTAGCCTCTGTATTCCAAAGGAAATAGGTACTGACTGAAGATCATCACCCCTTTGCTTTAACTCTTTCCCCCATGAAGACTACATTTGACGACCCTCCCTTGTTTCCTTAATGACGTCTTTTGACACCTCCGCTGTATCACTAAAGACGTGATTTGAGGACTCGGTTGTCAAATCGGTTGGCTCGGTTTTTCACATGTAAACAGTGGCTGTGATAGGTGGGGGCCACTACAACCCATACATACTAATATATGTATGGGTTGTTCCAAGTAGGTGTCCAAGGGGGTAAGAGTTAACTGCTACTGTCAGGCTCTTCATTCTGGCCTTGAAATATTGTCCGCATGATCCTGGTATTTCTATTTACAGCCATTGCCATCCTCCAGCTAAGGTTTTCTTAACTAAGCCTAGTTCAGATCATGGAGATGGGTTCACACTGCTCCTGACAGGCTGCCCCAGAAGGTTGAAGAAAGGGTCAAATGCAGAGAATGAATTTCCCCCTTGAGGGATCAATAAAGTATACCCTACCTTGCGCTCTTATTGGCTCTTTGGTTGCTAAGAAACACACTTGGAATCCCAAATATGGAACTTGGTTGCAAATTACTGCTAACCTCCACTTGTATGAACAGTCTACAGTTTAGACCTGACTTGCCTGACTTGCTTTTGAATCAGGGCTCTAAACAGTCACATAACTAACTTGTAACTGCACTTTTAGCATGTTTTGTAGGTGTGTCATATCAGGAGAACGCACAAGTCATAGGGAGTAGGAGGACAGGTACAAAGAAGGAAGGAAATCTCCCAGGAAAGAAAGAAGGAAGAGTAGACTGTGTAGTGAAGGGCAAACCTCATGGTAACAGTCATAATTATTGGAATTGTAGTGTATTTTTGTATTTTCATGTATTTGCTGTGTATTTTCTTGTATTTTATGTGTGTTTTCATGTATTTGCTGTGTATTTTCTTGTATTTTGTGTGTGTTTTCATGTATTTGCTGTGTATTTTCTTGTATTTTGTGTATATTTTCTTGAACTGTCTTGTATGTTCATGTATTTGTTGTGTGATTTTTCAGGGTGTAGATCCGCCCCATCAGAGTGACACCAGGACTGTTTACGTGGCCAATCGTTTCCCCCAAAATGGACACTACATCCCCCAGCGCTTCGCCGACAACCGCATCATCTCATCCAAGGTACCGCCACGCTCCACTGTAACTATAGCAACCGCATCAAATCACCCAAAGTACCGCCACGCTTCACTGTAACTATAGCAACCGTATCAACTCATCCAAGGTACCGCCGCGCTCCACTGTAACTATAGCAACCGCGTCATCTCATCCAAGGTACCGCCACACTCCACTGTAACTATAGCAACCGTATCAACTCATCCAAGGTACCGCCACACTCCACTGTAACTATAGCAACTGTATCAACTCATCCAAGGTACCGCCACACTCCACTGTAACTATAGCAACCGCATCAAATCACCCAAGGTACCGCCACACTCCACTGTAACTATAGCAACCGCATCATCTCATCTAAGGTACCACCACACTCCACTGTAACTATAGCAACCGCATCAAATCACCCAAGGTACCGCCATGCTTCACTGTAACTATAGCAACCGTATCAACTCATCCAAGGTACCGCCGCGCTCCACTGTAACTATAGCAACCGCATCATCTCATCCAAGGTACCGCCACGCTTCACTGTAACTATAGCAACCGTATCAACTCATCCAAGGTACCGCCACTCTTCACTGTAACTATAGCAACCGCATCAACTCATCCAAGGTACCACCGCGCTCCACTGTAACTATAGCAACCACATCAACTCACACAAGATTTATTATTGTGAACTTTAAGTGGTGTTATGGTGCGTTCAGACCGGAGTATAAAAATATACACACCGCAACCTGAACCTGAACCTCGACCAGGACTGGACCAGGACTGGACCTGAACCAGCACTGGACCAGGACTACACTAGGACTACGCTAGGACTACACTAGGACTTGACTAGGACTACACTAGGACTACACTAGGACTACACTAGGACTTGACTAGGACTACACTAGGACTACACTAGGACTACACTAGGACTTGACTAGGACCTGATTAGGACTACACTAGGACTTGACTAGGACCTGATTAGGACTACACTAGGACTTGACTAGGACTACACTAGGACTTGACTAGGACTACACTAGGACTTGACTAGGACTTGATTAGGACTATAGTAGGACTACACTAGGACTACACTAGGACTACACTAGGACTTGACTAGGACTTGATTAGGACTACACTAGGACTACACTAGGACTTGACTAGGACTTGATTAGGACTACACTAGGACTACACTAGGACTTGACTAGGACTTGACTGAGCTGATCAATTCTGCTTGTGGGTTTTATGTAATAAATACACTAAAGCCACTCCCTCAATGTGGTCTGCCATTGTTCTGGGAAAAAAACGGGAAATGGCACATGTTTCCAGGGCAACGGATGCCCTGGACGCTCATCAGGTATTTTTCTCCTGTGTCAGGGGAGTCTGAACTCAAATGCAAAGGCTCCAACTAGAAGCGCCCTTATGGACCATAAGAACATTGTTACCTCATCAAAAACAGTCCTGGAGTTGTGTTTTGTTTCATTCACACATGTTTGAGTAATTCTTCATTATTAGTTTCTACCAAAGCTGAAGATGCAATGTTCCACTTTGTGATGTCATGAAGTTGTAGTTTTCAAGTAAACAGCTCCTTTTGCCTTTAGTTCAATAGGCCAGTTTCATTGTTGACAAAAGTGCGCGTTGCATGCTGGGAATTATTTTGGTCGGCGACAAGAAACACTAATTCAACATGACAGACGGAGCTAGAAAGCACGTAAAGGGTATTGATTTCGGTTATTTATCCACTAGGGATGGGCATGATTAATCGATTAATCGATAATTGATCATTAAGAATTTTGTTGATTATGTTAATTTTAATTGACAAACCAAATGTAGGTTGCTGTGTGTAGCGTGACCAAACAGGTCTGTACATGTGTCTCTGCACTCAGAAGGAGCGAGCAAACGCAAACATTCGGTCAGTCTGCAGCGTACCGAAGCACAAATGCGTATTTAACGATGACTTCTACAAGAAATTCCACGCTTTCCGTTGTGTTCGGGACAAGTGGGAGTCCATGTGTACAAAGCAGGAACATATGTTTCGGTGTCCAGTGGGAAAAAGTTTTACCAGGTGAGAGTCGCACAATATCGATGACGAGTCCCCACCTCCCTCCCCCCGTACGGTGTCCTGGTTTTGACAAACGCAACTCTGGTCACACTAACCTGTATTCCACTGAATCATGTCTTTTAATCCGACAGTAATTGACCGCATCAGTGCACAAGAGCTGTAGTTTTATCTTCGCTTAGTTTATGCAAATTAGCGATGCGGTTTTAAGTTTCGTTTTTGTGAGAGTTGCGCAAAACTGAATTAAACACATTAATAATTAATAATGTCAAACGGATTGATGTGGCTCTAGAGTGGTTATGGTTTATATGTCGTAAAGTTGAATTTATTTATGCAGATTAGTAGTGCAGATAGTAATAATAATGATGATCATTTTAATATAAAAACGTTAATGATTAATCGATAATCGATTGTTAATTCTTCCGATGATCGATTAAGAAAATTTCATCGAATGCCCATCCCTATTATCCACTCTAACGGCAGAGGACCCAAGACCATTTGACCAGAAATTGGTCATAAGCATCGATGGAGCCAAATCACCCTTTTCAACCCCGACAAAAGGTGAACGCAACCAGATTTCTGGTCAGAATCGCCAACTACCTGGACAAATATTCACTTTGGTGATATCCACAATGACTTGGTGGAAACTCCTGGGCCATTCACAGCAGAAAAGATGAAAACCTCCAAGAGTCTCGATGTGTTGTTGAACTTGTTGGAGTCCACGGTTTGTTAGGATCTTCTACGTTTGCTCTGCAGATGTTTGAAAGCCGTTTAATTCACCGTTAGCGGTTCTTTTCACTCAGAATACGAAAAAGACATTTTCCTTCTTCCGTGCTTCTATTTGTGCATCCGATAATGCAGCAGGAATTTACCATTATCGGGGAGAAATACGCGAGGTTACACACTGTGTTTGACCGCTACCGTGTTTCTGCCTCCGACCAAAATATTTCCCAGCATGCAACGCGGGCTTTTAACAATAACAATGACGTCAGCTGAAACTCGCCTATAGAGATCGACAATTCCAGGGCTGAAATCATCCAAATGATTCCAGTGAAGGGGAACACTTCCTCCAGTGTTTTCAGACTGAGAGAAGAACTGAGCCTAAATCTTCAGGGTTTGTGTGTTAAACATGTATGAATGAAACAAAACACAAGTCCAGGTCTGTTTGTGATGATGTTATGATTTAGTATGGTGATTGGGATTAGATCTGTGATTATGTCTAAAAAGTGGGATTCTATTCAAAGTTCACATTCACACAACTTTATAACACTTAACTTTAACTACTATTTTTCTAAAAAGAGACAGGATATTTTGTTGGAAAGGACTTTCTATTCTTTAATAATTACAGGTTTAGCGATTTAATAATTACAGAAACCCAAATTGCAGTTTTAAATTACATTGCGATATTGTGCGCAGCTCTAATTATAGGTTTTCATGTTTTTGTAATGATTACTTGTCATCAAAACGGAAACACAAGAATTCTGCTTTTCCTGACATTACAAATGGTGCTAGACTTCTAAAGAGTGGGATTATGTAAGGTCAGGTCTGAGGGCTGAAGTGTGACTTGACATTTCTCCGTAATCTCAGACTTTGCTAAACGTGCTTATTTAGAGCAGAGAGGCAGAGTCAATAAAGAAGTCAACGCCTGAGTGACTTTTGTAATGTGGACCAATACACACACACTCATACACACACACTCATACACACACACTCACACACACACACACACACACACACACACACACACACACACACACACACACACACACAGACACACAGACACACACACACACACACACACACAGACTGGAGACTGATCCTAACCTTAAAAAAAGACATATCCAAAACTGACTCTTGTGAGCTTTTAGCCGTGTTATAATGCTGTTTCCTCCTCAAAAACAGACCTGGAGTTGTGTTTAGTTTCATTCACACGTATCTGAGTAATCCTGTATTGTTAAACTGTCTACATCTCCAAACCTCAAAATGCTTTGTTCCATTTTATGATGTCATGTAGTGGTCATTTTCATGTTAACAGCTCAGAGATTGGCAATACCAGGTCTGAAATCATCCAAATGATTCTAGTGAAGGCCCGGGATCTAAAAATGGACACCCATTCAAGTCACCCATTGGGTCGAGCTCAATGGCGCATGTCTCCAGATTAGCCTTTAGCCCGGCTAAGTACTTCTGGTGGCTCCCTGCCCATTGAGCATGTGCAGTTGTGCTCTTTTCTCCCGTGAGCCCATGCCTATAAATGCGAGCATGTGGAAGGAGTGTGGGCTCGAGTATCACGTGATCACTTTGACCGATCAGAGCGAGAGGAGCTAGAGCGGAGCAAAGCAAAGTCAGATGTAATGATTAGAAAGCTTTTTTTTTAAAGACAACTGAAGGATTTTGAGTGTAGAAAAATGTTATGATGTCAAAATTGGTAAAAATCACCACAAAATCCAACATTCTTGAAAGCTGTAGGTGCCGTCAGCCAAACATGAGACGTTTGTGATTACATTGTGGGATTTTTTCACTGTAGTACCAGTGAGTGGCCACTACACCAACTGGAGACAGCTACAAGCTAGCAAGTCCCTAGTTATTTTAATAGATCCATGAGGTGTGTGGACTTTAAAACCACAGTGGAGCACTTCCTGTGTTAGCCCATGTTGTTTTTGATGTACCGTATTTTCCAGGCTATTAGACGCGCTCTTAAGCCTCTAACCGCATCAAAAAACAACCACACACCCCTCTATCTAGAGCGCCCTATACACGAATCCACTTGGGTGTCCCAGCACGACTTCAGTAAACTACAAACCCGCAGCACCCACAGCGCACACAGACAGCGACCACGCAGCGAAACACAACCACAACCACACTCATCACTCCACACGGATGAGGAACGGAACGGAGGAACGAACCGAAAAAGCGAGTGCAATGTGCCACTTCTAGACACGAATGAACAACTGAGTCACTGTGAAAACGCCGACAATCCGTTGGTCGCAGACAGCACCCTCCCTACACGCCACAACTGAACAAAGCCCAGAGTCACCGTGAACGCCACAAACAAACAAAACCACTCACCCATCACACTGTTGGGTTTCCTTTAAAGTCTGGTGCGGTTTATTTGTGAAAAAAGTTCAAAAATAGACCATTTAATGACAGTGCACCTTATAATCCAGAGTGACTAATGGCCCATAAAATACAGTATTTACCTTTTTAATATTGTTTATTTATTATTGTTTTTATCTCTCTCTGGATCACTGGGCCTCGGGAAGCACATTTGTTCTGTCATGTGTTCTCTCGCATGCTTGAATGACAAATAAAGAACCTTAACCTTAACCATATGACATCACAAGGTGGAATGGAGTATTTTCAGTTTTAGAGAAGAACTGTTTAATTATGCAGGGTTTGTGTGTTAAACATGTGTGAATGAAACAAACACAACTCCAGGTGTGTGTGTGTGTGATGAGGAAACATAACAGAGGTCAGTAAATATGGGCCCTTTAAAGAAGACATTTTGTACTGTTGTTTGATCTCTAGTTATAATCTATGACACCCGTGGATCATTCTGTTTTCATTTGCACATTTTAAATTGCAATATTGATCTAAAATAAGTGAAACAAGTCGTCTGAGTTCCAGGTTAGAAAATTGAGATCAATGGGAGCTGACGTTGCCGTAAACGTCATCACAATAGAGAGCCCTGCTGCTGCATGTTGTCTGCACATCACACTAGCAGTAGCAGATTTTCTTGATTGTGCTAAAATGATTATATGATGCTCCCCGAATCCTGCATGAATCACTGATTTAGAAAATATTAGAATTGGAAAATGAAGTACAGGGAAGTGGGCATACAGCGGTGGCAGTGAAATTGGGGATTGATTGGAGCAATGATGTCTTGAAAACAGGAGAATCCAGATGATGAATGAGGAGGAAAACAAGTATGACATGGTTAAAAGCTTTAAGATCAGTTTTACATAACAGGTCTCTTTAAACCAGGCATTATTTGCCTAACCTTAACCTAACCCAGGGGTGGGCAAACTACGGCCCGGGGGCCTTATGCGGCCCTATAAACCTTTCAATCCAGCCCGCCGAACTGGAATAAATTACAATAATAAATCTTGTTGATGTTTTATTTGTCATGCATTTCTGGCGTTTCCCAGTAGATGGTGCACTATATATACATTGAGGTGCGGTGTATTATGTTGGCCGCAATGCTTTATGGGAAAGTGTTTTTACAGGAGTTATTCGGACCATGAGTGAAGTAGTTGGTGGTCAAGATATAAGGCTGCGATGTTTCCATTTTAAGTTGGTAAAACAAAACATAGAAAACTTTGAGACTCTGAAATATAATTATCAGTAACTACAATTTCATGGAGTCTGGTTTTACTGCACTTGCAGTTGTATGTGTGTGGTTAAATGGCGTGAGCTTTGTATTCGAGCTATTTTTAGTCAGATTAGAATATATTAAGCTCAGCTGTTTGTTCACCTGTGGTGTGTAGTGGAACAGGTCTATACACTTTTATGTGTTCTGAATCTTTCATGTAGTTTTGAAGCGCGTAGTGTGATACCGGAGTCCTACATAAACGTGAATATGAATGTAATGAAGCCGAGCTCTTAACATGTTATGTCCTGCCTTCTGTCCGGCCCTTCAGTCAAACTTTAGGACCCTATGTGGCCCGCGAGCCGAAAAGTTTGCCCAACCCTGACCTAACCCCTAATCTAATCTCTTAAACCATTATCTGAACTGTAAAGGTGCACTGTGTAACTTTTTGGATGGGGGTCACCTGCTTGTTTCTATGGAGATGTCACTGCTCCACCCCAGTGTTCCACAGTATGACTTTAAACAGCTCAACTAACCGATAACTGATCATTAAGAACTTTGTTGATCATGTTAAATTTTAATCGACAAACCGATTGTAGGTTGCTGTGCATAGCGACGAGGCTGCGTCTGACAGCGCAAACACTAGAGTTGCGACCTCACAGTTCCTCGTTTCGGCTCAGGCACACCTGCTTGGAGATTACTACACCACTCCATGAGTGCGTTTACATGCACATCAGTGTCCCAGCGCTTATAGTTTATGCAAATGAGCCATGCGGTTTTAAGTTTTGTTTCTGTAAAACGTAAACAAATGTGTGTAAATGTGTGTGTCTATAGTGGTTATGGTTTATATGTTGTCAAGTTGAATGCAGATTAGTAATGATAATAATAATGATGATAATTTTAATATAAAAAACGTTAATGATTAATTGAAAATCAATCGTTAATTCTCCTGACGATCGATTAAGAAAATTTAATTGAATGCCCATCTCTAATTCTGACTGTATCTGGGCTCACCTCTCCACAGAACTCACCTTTATGTAACAGATAACCCTGTGTCCTTGAGTCATCATATCATTACTTTTTTCTATTTAATTTTGACATATCCATTTATAGAAAAATGTCTTACTTGACATTTGTCTTTTGCTCTTTTTTGCTACTTATTTAGAATGTATTATTACCATTTATATTTTTTCTCTTTGTTATTATATTATATTGTGATGTGTGAGCTGCTGTGTCCAAATAATTCCCTTTATGGATCAGTAAAGTTTGTCTAAGTCTAAGATCTGACCTGTAACTTGGTCTGCTTTGGTCTCCATGAACACCGAAAGGTTTAATAACACACTGTGAAACATTCCAAAGCAATATCTCTATGGAGAAAAGAATTTGACGCACCCTCCACCAGAAAAGTTACACAATGCACCTTTTTAACCAGTGTACTGAATGAATAATAAAGCTTTTACATCATTAGGTCTGTCAGGTGAACAGATATTAATCCCCACACTGTGATAAAAGCATAAACACACATATAGTCAGGTCCTCTGTGGTGAGAGCAGAGTCTGTGAATTCTCTGAGTAAACAAAAGAAACCTGACACCACAGATGGGCCACTCCCACGCAGACATGGTCCACTGTGATTAACGAGGTGATTAAAAGTGTTTTTTTTACATTTCAACGTCAACTTGTCTTAACTGATTTGCCTGTGTTCTTCGATGTTGAAACTTTTTTACAGGACAAATGCACTCAAATTTGACTTCATTATGTGGCGAAAAGTTGTTATTTATTTATTTATTTTCTCAAAGCGGCCCGTGTCTGTGTGATTCCTGGTTTCTCTGTGCATCAGATTTGTCTTTTTGAGATAATGAGTAAAAATGGGAATAGAAATTATTTCGGTCAAAAAAATTCAAACAGGTTGTGTCACTCAGAAAAAGTCAAATCAAATACAGGACCGAAAAGGCACAGGCTGATGCTTATCTTACTATGCCTATCCATTTGTGCTCACTGGGCAATTTAACATATAATACGGTCTATAAACAAGAATAATGCCCACGCAGTAAAGGCAACTTCATAATTTAAAATGTTTCTACTAAATGATAATTAATGACTTCAGCTTTAAACATACTTTTATATATAAACAATGAAATACAGGACTTTAAATCATCATCTAAACTGTTCCACACATTCACCCCTTAGACTTACGGAGTTCTCAGTTTAATCTTTGCTCAGGTTTTAGGAATTAAACAAAAAATATGGGACCATTCCTACTATGTATCCTGAATGTGTTTATGCGAAATCACAAAAATGCAATGCAGTACTTTGTAACATGATGCAGAGTTTGCCGCGGTGTTGTGGGTTAAGTATCCGCCTTCAATTGTACACAGATCTATTCCCGCCCATGTGCCATAACCGGGCATAATGTCTTTGTATCCATGACAAATACACTATAATACAGTACTCAGTGTTGAGGAGTAACAGATTACATGTACCGGAGTTATGTAATCAGAGTACAAATTATTACTGTATTCAGTTACAGTTACTGTTTCAGTGAGTGGTAATTGGATTACAGTTACTTGGTTGAAATAAATGGATTACACAGAGGGATTTTCCAGTTTTCACATTTTGGCCTATATTCCTTTTTTTTTTTTTCCAGTAATTCCACTCATTGCCGGACACTAAACCAGGACTAAAACCGGGACTAAACCAGGACTAAACCAGGACTAAATCAGGACTAAAACCAGGACTAAACTAGGTCTAAACCAGACTAAAACGAGGTCTAAAACCAGGTCTAAACTAGGTCTAAACCAGGACTAAACTAGGTCTAAACCAGGACTAAACCAGGACTAAAACCAGGTCTAAACTAGGTCTAAACCAGGACTAAACCAGGACTAAACCAGGACTAAACCAGGTCTAAACCAGGTCTAAACCAGGTCTAAACCAGGTCTAAACCAGGACTAAAACAGGATTTAACTAAACCCTGCTGCGTGGACCGTGTCTCGTCCTCTTCTATCAATAATATTTTTAATAAAGACTGGGCTTTTTTATTTTCTTTTAGCAGACAAAACTTCTTATGTGAAGATTTCCTCGTCTTTGCTTCTCTACAGCAAATCTAGTAATCCTAAGTATTCAGATTACATTACTCACTTAAGTAATTTAATGGATTACTTTACAAACTACATTTTGGGGTATGTAATCTGTAATCTGTAGGGGATTACATTTTAAAAGTCACCTTCCCAACACTGACAGTACTTTCAATGTCTTCATAGAACAGTATATGATAAATGCGTAGAAGTGGTGTAAGAGGAAGTGTTTGTGTGCAGCAGAAGTAATCTCATATAATGTTGTTTCTTTTTCAGTACACAATCTGGAACTTTGTCCCCAAGAATCTGTTCGAGCAGTTCAGAAGAATCGCCAACTTCTACTTCCTCATCATCTTCCTGGTGCAGGTGAGTTTGGTAGAGAGTTTGTCAGCCCGGCCTGTCTAGATCCACTGAGCCACAGGTTGGCGGTGTGATTCTAGCTCCCATAGATGAATGCTGTTGTTGTGTCCTTGGG